CTGAAGAGAGTCATATGTGATTCTAAGCTGGTACCATAGGGGCAAAAGAGTCACCCTGAAGCCATGAGAAGTTATACAATGCCACTAAGCACGAAATCTGGTGTGTGTGTGTGTGTGTGTGTGTGTGTGTGTGTATAAATTTCCCATTTGTTGTCATAACAAATTACTTCAAATGTCACTTAAAGTAACCAGGAGTTACTATTCTACATTTGTGGAAATGAGAAGTCTGAAATAAGTTTGACTAGATGAAAGCCAAGGTGACAAGAGGCTTGCTGTGTTTTCTGAACACTCTAGGTAAAATAGCTTTCTAGCCTTAGCCCTCTTCTGGAGGCTGAGAGCATTCTAGCCCTTTCCATATTCAAGGTTAGAAGTTGCTGGTAAAGTCTCTCTCCTATTTCGTCAGTCTGACTGTCTGACTATGACACTGACTTTCTTGCTCCCTCTCCTTTAAAAGGAAACTTTAGATTCCAAACTGGATCCACACAGAGAGTCTGGCATAGTCACTCTGTAGATTAACTGATCATTAACTCTAATTCTACCTTCAGTCTTCATTTTTCTTAACAAATAAAATCATTTTCTTGGCCTTTTGTTATTCAACCAGAGAAACTAAACAAACTGCAAAAATACTTGGAAACAGCAGTACATTTTTGAATGAGCAATGTGTCATTCAAGAAATCAGGGAGAAAATTTTAAAATTCCTAGAATCAAATGAAAATGAGACTATGCTATCGGAACCTCTGGGATACCAGCAAGGCATTCTTAAGTGCAAAATTTATAGCTATAAGAACTCAAACTAAAAAATCTGAAAGATTTAAAATAAACAAGTTAATGATTCACCTTATGGCTCTTGAAAAACCATAAGAAGCCAGTTCCAAATCCAGTAGACGGCAAGATATAATAAATATTAGGTAAGTAATGAATAGAGTCAATGGAACAAAATCAGCTGAACAAGGAGTTGGTTCTTTGAAAAAGTTACTAAGATTGACAGACCCTTAGCCAGTCTGACAAAAAAGCAAATCAACAAAAATAGAGTAAAGAAAGGTGCCATCACAACAGATGCCAATAAAATCCGGAACATCATTAGAGAATATTTTGAAAAATTATATTATAAAATGCTGGAAAACCTAGAAGAAATAGATGAATTTCTAAAGGCATGTAATCTGTCAAAATTAAAGCCAGCTGATTTTGTGTAGAGTTGTACATGTTAGTAGAATTATTTCTCTACTGGCCTTTGAATCATTTATGAGCAGGACTTTTTCAATGGAAAAGAATAACTTTTCTCCCCAGCGTTATTATCAGAGTATAATGTTCCTGTATGCTTGCTATTCAGTGTTTATAACAAGCTTGTATAGCCCCCTCAAAAGTGGTAAAGTGAGAAGATATAATTAATTTAAACAGATCAACTACAAGAAATGAGATCAGAGCTGTAATGAAAAATTTCCCCACAAAATAAAGCCCATCACCAGATGGAGTCTCTATTGAATTCTAGCAAACTTTTAAGGAAGTTTTTTTTTTTTTTAAGCATGAAAAATGCCATTTTCCCCTTTATTTGTTTCATAAAATAGAAAGAAAAGGGCCACTACCAAATTTATTCTATGGAGACAATATTATCCTGGGGCCAAAACCAGGTAAAGATACAGAAAAAAAGAAAACTACAGACCAATTTCTTTGATGAATATAGATGTAAAAATTCTCAACAAAATACCTGAAAACTGAATTCAGGAACACATTAGGAATATCACACATCATGACCAAGTGGGCTTCATACTGGAGATGTGATGTTGGTTCAACATACACAAATCTATAAATGTAAATGCATCACAAAACTTAAGAATAAAAACCTCATCTCAAACGATGTTAAAAAGGCATTTGGCAAAGCTCAACAAGTATTTGTGGCAAAAGCCCTGATTTTTTTTTTTATCAGGAATGGATGAAGCATACCTCAAAATAATAAAGGCTGTATACAAAGGTGCTATAGTCAATATTATACTAAAATTTAAAGATTTCTAGAGAAAACTTCAAGACATTGAAAACTAATCAAAGAAGACAGTAGTGATGAAAGCGCTTCCCTGTTCCTGGAGTGGCAGAATTAATATAATGAAAATGGACATACTACCAGAATTAATCTACAGATTTAATGCAATACCCATCAAAATTCCAATGTCACTGTTACAGTCTTTTCAAGTTCAAACTGTGTCATGAATGTCAATTTAGGGACTCTAACTTCATGTGATCTACTTTCCTAACAAAAATTCAAAATTGCAAAGAGACATTTGAAAGACTAGCATGGGCCAACTTATCAATGACAATGTGAACTTTATTCATTAGAAGGTATCAAGCAAATTTATTCTAATTGAAAAAAAGAGGAAAAAGTAACAAAGGGGTAGTTCATCTTGCCTTCTTGGGTTGGACAGGTTTTATTGGCATGGTAAATCAGTGGTTTGTTTGTTTACTAAAAATAAGCGAGAATCCCCCCCCCATCTTCAGGATAACGATCTTATGATCCATGAATTCAGTAGAAATAGACATATTTATGCCATTTATTTAAAGAGAAAATGGCAATAGTAACCCAGAAAAATGATGATATTTTAAAATCCTAGACTTAGGAAGATTCCTAAAACCCCATTTTAAGCTTTAGCATGCTCAGTAAACTAAGACAACTGCTTCCCAGACTTTAACATGCACAGAAAATATATGAAGATTTTCATTGCTTGAACATTCTGGTACAGTTGGATTGAGGCTCAGACTGGTAAGGCTCTAGGTTCTAACAAGACTCCAGGTCAGACTAATGTCAAGAAGGAAAACAAAAGAAAACACTCAAAGAAGCATAGATTTCAGTCACATCTTTGGTCACCACTGTCACTTCAGCAGCAAGTGTGAAAATATTGACCACTGGCATATTTTTGTTTCGTGATCTTACTGTAGGCTTAGAAAGAAAAAGCATATTGAGAAGAAACAAAAGTAATGTTGGGCTTTTCTGCAAGGGTAGTTGAGATTACAGAAGGATTGCTTCACACTGATAGCTGACCTTGTTAGCATTTATGTGTTATGCTGTCATGACTTGCTTATCCTCAGGAGCCTGAGGACCAAAGGCCTTTAACCTACAAGCAGAATAGACCTGGAAATGTTGGAATATTGGGGTATTACTTATCCACTCAACAGGTCACTTTTCAGAATGGAAAACAGTGATGTCAATGTGTGAAGACAGATTCAAAAGTCTGTATGTGAACCTCAGCTCATGACAAACAGAAAACAGGAAAACTAGATCTGGACCTAACCAGTTCCCCATGTGTCTTCCTGTACTTTCCTTTGCGCACCTTTAATTTTTACCAACGGTAGCAGTCCTGTAGCATGCTTAGTAAGCTGACAAAGCAATCCTGACCACTACCATTTTCCTGTCTTGAGGCCTGCATATATACCTTTTTCTTAGTTTCCTCTGCCAGTAAAAGGCAGCTTCCTCTATCTACCCTTTTCTAACATGACAGTGACACTGTTCTTTTAGGAACACATTCCCTCTCAGAGTAATACTCCACTTCCTCTGAATGCTTATAACATTTAATTTACTTCAAAAGTAATAGAGCTGCCCTTTTTTAATTATGAGTGTTTTCTGATATTGTTTCCTTCGTGATCTTGAGTTCAATGTACTCTGAGTTCAGATGCGCTCAGAGCTGAGAGAGTATTGTGAATCAGTTTCGGAGTAAGAGAAGTTTCTCCAATGACAGGAAATTTTTAAGAAATGAAAGAAAACAAAATAAAAAAGAGCACAGGCTGTGAGGTTTTGCTGTATCCTAAGGCGCAAGCTTTGCTACTTTCTATGGCTTTTGTATTGGTATTTCTGACTTCCTAATTTTGTTCCTGATCACTTCCATCCTCTCTTTAGTCTGATTCTTACTGATGTTTGCTGCATAGTAGACCAGGCTGGGAGAAAAGTTTGCAAGTGATGAGTCTCAGTGGGAAGTAGAGTCAGGAGACAACCAGGAACCATTTGTCTCTGACTTTTGGAGTTGAAAAATCCCAAAGACATCAGAAGTAATTGTGACTTCTAATGAAGAGCACAACTGGACTGGAATGAATCACACGTGCACACACACACACACACACACACACTATATATATATATATCTCACATATAGTGTGTGTATACCAGCAAGACAATAAAAAACCCTCAATACCAGAATACCCACTCACATAGGTATGTTTTAACAAACAGAACTGAACTGTATGTACTGAACCAAGTAGAGGTGAGGCAGGTCCTTAGTCAAAAGAAATTAACAGTTCCACAACCACAGAATTACCTTTTGCTAGGAGTACATTGGCTTCAGATTTTGAAAACCGAGACCTGAAAGACAACCCGGAAGACGGACTTCCTTGCAGATGGGCTGGAGTTTTAAATTATGAAAAACCACAGTTGTTCCAGTGTGTACTGGAGAAATTGCTTTTGTTGTTGTTGCTTTTAAGTGTGTCAGTGTTTCCTCTGGTCTCTCTCTTTCCTTTTTCTTCCTTCGTCCCTTTCCCGTCTGCGTCTGGCTCAGAGCCTTTGGAGGATGGCGATTGGGCAAAGACAGGGAGCTGGACTCAGTTCTCCAGCGGAGTCTGGAAGGGGTGGGAGGGACTCAGCGCAGCGGGTTTCCCACCAGAGGGCTTCCAAGCAGTCTTCCTACAATCCCTGCCCGCCGGACCCCAAAGAGAAGAGCAGCAGCACACAGGCTGGGCAGCAAGCCAAGCAAGCGACACTTGGGGCCCAGCACCCCTGGCCTCGCGTGACCTCACCATGGTGGGTTTGGGCAGCTTTCTTTTCTGGTGTTTAGGGCCTGGGAAGGCTAAAAGGCTTGGGAGACGTCTAGAAAGTCTTTGGGGGTAGGGAAGGGTTAAGCGAGGTTCTTTTGGGTCATCACAGCGAGAGATGAAGAGGAACCGGGAGAAACAAAGGCGAGAAGTGATTGTCTTGAGTGACGTGGGCCATTGGGAGCGGAGTCTCCTCGCGTCCCGCCCCGCCTGTTGAGCAGGTTGACAGGGAGCCTGGTGTGCGCCGTGCGGCCGCGTGTGACCCGAATGCACCCGCGAGGGGACCGGCAGGTGCCACTCCTGGGCCACCTCTCCGCCCACCGCCCGCGCCGCCGCCCTCTCTGTGCGTTTGCAGTGCGGATGTGTGAGGCGTGCTCTGCAGCAGTGGGACTGCAGTCCCCAAGTCTGGGGAGTCACTGAGTAAGTGGTCGCGGTGGCTTCGCCGGCCGGGGCTTTCTGGCCAGGCGTCCCTGTACGGGGCCGGGGGTTCCTCTCCCCTGTCCTCCTGGGAAGCTCCACGCTGTCAGCCACGCAGCCCGGGAAGCTGCAGCCGGGTTCCCACGCTGGGGAGAAGCGGGGAGGGGACACCCCTGCGGGCGGGACCGCAGTCTTTGGGAGCAGCCCCAGCTCTGCACTCGCGGGGCCACGGTGGGGACGTGCAGGGTGTGGGTCGCTGTCTCCCACGCCCTCCAGCCAGCTCTACACAGCTCCGCGGCCTCCCGCGCCCGCTAGCAGTGCAGGGACCCTGGACCCTACACCCCCGGGCTGGTGGCCTCGCCCTGGTCATCCTCCTCCTGGAGCTGCAGGGTGAGTGAGAGAACCCAGGCCCCTGCCAAAAGCCCTGTTGCGGGTGCAGAATTGTCCAGAGAATGCCACCTGTAAACTTCATCCGGCTCTTGCAAAGTGTGTATGAGGCTTGGTCTTTGGGTGAGCGGGAGGCCAGATGGTCCAGCAGCCTCCTTCCTGTTGTTATTGGGTCTGTGGCTCTTTGGAAGACGGTGGGCAGGAGTCACTACCACTTCGTGTGACTGTCTGCGTGGGCAGCCTGCCCAGAGTCAGCAGAGCTGCCTGTAAGTGCCATTTGCATGAGGGGCTGCCTAGCCGTGTGGTCATGTGGTTCCAAGCTGTGGGTTTTCTTTTGCCTTTCTTTTGGTCTCTGGGGTTCACAGGATTGTTCCTTGGTTTTGCCTTTGATAAACAGTTTGCATCTTCTAAAGTAAGAGGGCTGCCCACCTAGCTGACTGGTTGGATGCATCTTGGTTTCCAACATACTGAAACCTTGCTGGGTTTTAAGGAAGATGAAATTCTTTCATTTGAACTTTTATAACACATAGGTAGTGGGGTTTTAGAATCAGTCCTCCAGAAATGATTGATGTCTCTGTTCCGATTAACCCTGGGATTGATAGGAACACAGTTCATGTTCCTGTTGCATATACCTTGACATGATGATACATAATTTTATCATATCTTGGTCCATAATGTAGGGGCAATCTGGTGTTTTTCCAAAAATATTTGTATTTTTTTCCTTTATAAATGATAATTCCAGGTACTTTATTATGAAGAGGGTGGTAATCGAGGTACCAACAAGATAACAACAGAAAACTGTGTAGAGTTCTGAAGCAAAGCTAAGCACTGTGCAGTTCCCCAGTGAAAGTTGCCTGTATATCCTATTTTGTTCCGTTATTAAATGGTTGGGGCTGTGGATCCATTTTAGGGTCTATTGTAGTCCAAGAAATTGTACCCAAATATTTGAGCCATTGCAATTTTTGGTGAGACAGAGCAGACTTCTCAATTTTCCAGAAGACATATGGGACCCAATAGGAAAATGAGAACAGGAGTTAAAACGTTAAGACACACATTTCTTTTCAAAATTCAAGATTATCCATGTTAAGTTTACAGACACAGACTAGAGGGATTCAAGAATAGTGCTATAGTAATTAAACATTTCAAGTACTGCTGAGGAGGGAGGAAGGGAGGGAGGGAGAGAGAGAGAGAGAGAGAGAGAGAGAGAGAGAGAGAGAGAGAGAGCTTTCTACACAGCTGGAAAGAATGTAAACTTGTGCAGCATGGAAATCCGCTCAGAGGTTCCTCAAAAAAAAAAAAAAGTCTAAAAATAGAACTCTCATATGATCCAGCTATACCACTCCTGGGTATATGCAGGAAAGCTTTAATGTCAGCATACCACAGAGATATTTGCTCACCCATGTTACACTAGTCAGAACACCCAAGACATGAACCAGTCTAGCTGTCCATCAACAAATGATGGATAAAGAAAAGTGGGCTATTAACATTGCAGGAACATAAACGGATGGCAGTCGAGATCATGCTTAGAGAAATAAGCCAGGCTCAGAAAGACAAGTACATATTTCCTCTCATATGCAGAATCCAAATTTAAATCTATATAGGATGAAAGTAGAAAGTACTAGAAGAAGGGAGGAAATGGCCCAAAGAGAAGGATGAGGGACAAACGAGGGCAGAGGACTACATGGACGCTTTCTGAAGCAAGAGAAACTATTTGGAGCAAAGAGAAGAACGTAAGAAGGGCAGGGGAGGGACAGGCAAATAAGAACAATGTGCAGCAGAATGAGGGACATTCATGAAATGAAAATGCTGAGGTGAAACCCTTTACACTGTTTATTAAATTAATACAAGAAGAAAAAAGTCTTATGAAGTAGACACATTAGTACATTATTAGATGTACCACTTTGGAAGCTTAGTTCTGGGATGTTTACTTAATGTGATGGATAGATGTACACTTATATTTCTTCTTGTCCTGAAAGATCTTTCTAGTATATGACAGAAAATAAAAATACTTTTCTTTCATTAAAATCCAACTAAAATATAAAGACTTTGTTCTTGATATGGCGTTTCATAATGCATGGCTTATGAACAGCCTTGTAAAGGTCGTATTTGTAGGTGTTCAGGCATAAAATACACGTTTAATGCTGTCTTCTGTCATTTGAAAATGAGGAAGGAAATGTAAAGTTGTGTTATGTGTACCTGGCAATAGGAGAGAAAAATGAAGTGTGGAGAACTTCGCAATACTTAGTACTGGTGTCTTATAGCTATGGTTTATTAAATAATCTCATCTTAAGATATTTTGAATACTTAACTTGTATACTTCAGTACAGGCTTAATAACAGTAAAATTATGCTATCATTAATATCACTAAAATACTGAAGGGTTTAAAATTTCAAGAATTTTTCATAGATATTTTTAGACTTGAAAAACAGATTTTACTGAACAATTAAAATATTGTATAACCTTGAATTTTGTCAGAAACCATGGAAGAAAAATGAATTAGTTATTTACACCTGCTAGTGATAATGAGTGTATATATGGGAGGATAAATATTGGTTTCATTTACAGGTTACTTTAAGATAGCATGATGTGTACCCCAAATTTCTAGTTAATCTTTTTTACAGAAATTAACATCAAGTTAGTTTTAAGAATAAATCTCAAGTAAGAGTAAATGGAAAGCAAAATAATATTTCAATAAAATTAGACAAGTATGTTATTAATGGGAAAAAATGGAGAAAATGGGGTTTCAGAGTGACTTGATGTCAGATTTGCAAGGAAGTTGTTTGGATTGGCTTGCCTTTGCTAGCATATTAAATGTCCCTGGAACTGTTTTTATGCCACTCAATCAGAAATATTTACCCAAGTGACTTTCCTTAGGCATGCCTATTTATTATATTTCTGCACATTTGCAAAAGGAAATATTTTTTCGTTCTAAACCATCAATAATTACAATGTTTTTTTTTTTTTTCTAAGCCATATAGATTTATTACATGCTAAATGTCTGTACCGTAGTTTCTTTGTAGTGTCACCATCTTTCCCTGGTGAAAGAGCTTTTGGCAATCTCTAATCTTTCACTGAGCCAGTTTATTTGTGCAAAAATCAGTTCATTTATTAGAGGTTGGGGTAGTTTCTTGGGCATTAGACCTCATTTCTGATTCTCTCATTTAAAATTTTTTAATTGCATTTGCTTAGTGTGCGTGTGTGCATGCACACATGTGCTCATACTGTAGCATGTATGGAGGTCGGAGGGACAACTTTCAGGAGCCTGGTTTTCTTCTACTATGTGGGTTCCAGGGATTGAACTCAGAACCATAGGCTTGGTGGCAATAATCTTTACTCACTGAGCCATGTCATCTGCCCCTTGATTCTTTCATTTTCTTTGAGAACATTTTTGAAATACTCTAGCTATTTCATGTATTTTTCCTCTCAAGTCCTGGTCAGCAGACTTCCTACTCTTATAGCCCAGTGGGCTTGCAGAGAACAAGCACAATTATTTGGAAAGAATGAAGGGTTTGGGGTCAGGTGCCCCTTCATCCTGCAGTGACAAAGAATATTTCTTCTTAAAATTAAAGAGGCTCTGAGCCATGATTTCTTTTGCCACTGATATGTAACTCTTGGTGCTTGTAGTTATTTTTTTCACCTGTCATGCTTTCTGACCATTATTAATTTTTTATTAAAACAACCCTTCTTGGGGCTGGAAAGATGGCTCAATGGTTAAGAGCACCGGTTGCTCTTGTACAGAACCTGGGTTCAATTCCCAGTACCCACATGGTGGCTAACAACCGTCGGTCCCTAACTCCAGTTCCAGAGCAATCTGATGCCCTGTTCTGACCTCCACGGGCATTGCATGACACAGGTGCACTTACATATACATACACAAAAAATAAAAAAAATAAAATATTAAAAAAAAACTTTATAAAATTGAAGCCAACTCTGACTCACATACCAACTACTCCTACACAGTAAGGATTAGTAAGAACTAAAGAGATGGTGGCTTTAGCTATGACCTCATCAGGGAGAGGAAACCAGGCAGACTCCCTTGCTAACTCTCTGCGCATCACAGCTTTGCATCTTTTTCTGTTCTATCACATGACCTTGAAGGTGCCTGTTTCAATGCTCACATTTCCTGCCAATATCAGCTTTCTGTCCTTGGATGCGCAGGGCTTGCAGGCTGCACAGTAGGTGTCTAATGGGCTGAACATTGCTGCTACTGAGTTAAGGACTTTTGGGTCTGATGCCACAGGTTAGTTTCTTCAGGAACATCATGCAAGCACAGTGTGTGTTTGCAGGGACTCAGGTGGAGTGCTGTGGCCTTCCACACAGAGGTCCCTCTGTGCTCTTCTTAAAGGTTTTTCATCCTGTTCAGACATTTCTGTCCCCAGTGCTTTGGCTGCCACTGTTATTCCATCTCCAATATCAGTGTGCATTGATCTTGTGATCATTTCTCCTTTCTTAAAATCTAAAATAGCAGAGGCTTCAAATACTAGGCTCTAATCTGTCCCTATGTTCAGTGATTCACTCAAAACCTACTCATATGATCATCATATTGGCCATGACTTTAATCCACTCTACTTCCCTAAAGGACCCTCAAGTACACACCCACCTGTGGGTCTTCTCAT